ACTTTAAAGGAAGCCCTGCAATAATAACTTACAATATAAGCTTTTTTAATAACGGAATCCTACTTGTTTTTAACTGGAGACACATTGAGGGTGACCCTTTCCTGAATTTCAGATCTGAGATTCAGTGCTTCCAAAGTCAAAATGGAGCTATTTGACTTTGGAAGCACGTAAAAGTATACACATCCTATGGTACCCTTGGACAGAACTAGGACACTTCTTAAGACACGGTAGTCACGTTAACGTGTGTGTGTGTGCATATATATATATATATATATATATATACATACACACACACACACAATATTATACCCTGTTTTCTTTACTTGGCTTTATATGTATTCTATATTCAGTCCATAGTATTTTTACACATATTTCTGGTAATTATATTCAGACAGGTAACTGATTACGCAAGGCACCACTACATAAGGTACTGGTTTGGGTTTTTTTTTTTATTGCATAGTTATCCAGGTTGAAAAAAAGACAGACACACATTGATTGAATTCAACCAATAGAAAAAAAATGAATATAAAACCTCCATAAATAGAACCCTTTACCCATAGTTGATCCAAAGGAAGGCAACCACAGAGCCTTATAAAGCATGGTCCAATAGTGGAAACAAATTCCTTCTTGATCCCCTAAGCCAGGGGTAGGCAACCTTGGCACTCCACCTGTTTTGTAACCACAAGTCCCATGACAGTCAGAGGCCTAACTAGCAGAGGTAGATGAATGATGGGGTTTATAGCACAGCTGGAGTATGGAGTTTGCCTACAGCTGTCCAAAGGCAACCAGATATTCCCTGGATCAACCATCTCTGGAGTTATTACTTATAACATGTTAATATCCAGTTATATTCTGCACATGTAGGAATGTATCCAGCTTTTTTAACATTTAAAATGTAACTAGCTAGAAGTTAGAGCTAGTTCCTGAGGTAACGTATTCCAAATTTTTATTTTGTACTGTGAAAAAGCCTTTCTGTATTGTGATATTTTCAGGATATTAGCCCTAATGGCGAGTACTTTAAGGATACAGTCTACTCCCCATACATTCTTTTTTTTTATTTTTTAAACTCTTTATTTATAAAATATAAACACAAGAGACATGCCAAGTCACCAAAATTAAGTGGTCCAGACGCAGCTGGTCAAGTGTCCAAAAAGGCAAATGAGGAAACATAATAGATGACAAGTACATAGAAAACTGTACAAAGCCAATGCTGTCTTTTTAAGGCCCTGGTAGCCCAATTTTATTCAACAGAAAAGATCAACAGTCCTCATAAGTTTCCCTCACAGGGGTTCCCAACATCACATCCATACACTTCTAGCAAAACAAACACAGTTTTAGCCTCCTGGCTTCTACTTTTGCAGCATCCTGCTGCCTCTCTCCTCCAGATAGTCTCAATACCGTGATAACCTGCACTCACACTGGCTGTCCTCAGCCTCTGTGACTCTCACTGGCACTCTTCCAGCCTCACGGGCTGCCCCAGCCTCCCCAGCTGTCTTTTGTGTGCCTCTAGCACACATATCTGACTCCTGAACGGAAACCTTCCCCATCTCCTAGGTGGAGCCCTGAATCGTAGCCAGCCATCTTTACCATTAGGGCTGTGCACAGGTGTGCAATCATTAGATGCTGGTCACTACTAAACCACGGCAGAGACGTGTGGTCAGGTGAGGCAGAGCCTCACCTAGAATTATGGAGAAAAAAGCTGTCAGCTTCATGCCTGAAGCTGACAGCTTTTTCTCCATTCAGATCGGCATCTAACAGGTTACACTGCAGGGAAATCCTTCCGCTGTGTAACCTGTCATGGACAGAACGCCTCAGTGGTGAGGGACAGGGAGGCTCCTCCCTGTCTCCTTTACACTAGCTTGGGCGTGGGGCTTTGGCCGGTGGGGCAGAGCCTTGGCCGGCGGGGCGGGACATGCTGGGGAATGCCTCACCTGGAGCAAGAGGTACTGCACGTCACTGAACCACAGACCCAGGAATATAGGGTTTCATCCCTCCCAAAACACTTTGAAATCTCCTGGTTCCTGGATCTCGTGCAGAATCAGGAAAATCTTGAAAGAACTGCAAAGCCAGGTCTTTTATTGTAAAAATACTTGACTGGGTGATCCTTTTGAAGTTCACACAGTAACAAGGCACATGAAGATGAGGAGCATATACATATATCTAGCATATACATATGCTAGATGGAGATGAGGAGCATATACAGGTGAAACTCGAATAATTAGAATATCGTGCAAAAGTAATTGCAGTAAGTGCTGCAAAAGGGGCCCAAACCAAGTACTGAGTACATATGCATGCTTGTACTTTTCAGAGGTCCGATATTGTTCTATGTACAATCCTTGTTTTATTGATTGCATGTAATCTACTTTTTTGAGGTTGTGGATTTGGGGTTCTTGGGGTTTTCATGAGCTGTAAGCCATAATCATCACAATTATGACAAATCACGGCTTGAACTATCTTGCTTTGCATGTAATGAGTCTATCTCATATATTAGTTTCACCTTTTAAGTTGCATTAGTGAAATAAATGAACTTTGCACGATATTCTAATTATTCGAGTTTCACCTGTACATTACATCTAGTGGCAGGAATCACCGAGCTATAAGCTGATCAGAATGTTTATACATTAGCCCCCAAGTCTCTCTCTCCCTCTCCCTCACTCTCTCCTCTCTCTCTCTCTCCTCTCCTCATCTCGCTCCTCTCTCTCCTCTCTCCCCTCTCTCTCTCCTCTCTCTCTCTCGTTTTCTGTGTGCCCTTGCAGTAACTGGCGTTAAGGCAGTGTGGAAAAATGCCAGTCACCGCATTTGATGTGAACAAGACCTGAGGATAAACTTACAGTGCAAGCAATAGAATGTGTTACTATCTCAAGGGATCAGTCCATCTACAATAGATATTTGAGTTTTGGTAGATGCTGGAGAGTCAAATCTCCTAAATCCTGACAGTTTCTTATGTCTCTCATTATGTCACTTCATTCGAGTGGCCTGCCAAACGCACCACAACGAATCTGCAATCTTACCTGCTGTGTTTTTGGTAAAGCAGAGCACCGCACTGCACAGTAGTTTGTTATAGTCACAGTGTGCTCCAAGGCAGCTGCATTGGGGTGCAATCGGGAATTAATGGTACCTCAGTGCACCAACATGGTAACCACAACGCAGTGGTATGAACAGGCCCTATTACTTCATGATCTGAGAAACTGAGGGTACGCTAGGGGCGTGTGTGCTTTTCAACAGTTTTTGTACAGATAAGTGTCTCTCTTTCCAATGTCAGAAAATGTGGAGGTTTGTGATAAGGAACAGGTAAAGCATGTACTGGCACTGTAGGGATTCTGTGGCTGCCAATTTAAAGGCTGTTTATCTTTCTGAGCATTGTTTCATGTTACACCCATATTTAGCATGTAACATAAAATATGGTGAGAACCCTGTTCTAAGTAAAGTGGGCTACTTTAGTTCTACTTTAAAGTGGCCCAAAAACATAGAGGTCAGCAGGAGGAACTAAAGAGAGCTCCAGGGTACCCTAGAGATCGATAGTCCTGGAATTGTCAGTTTCTCTGTGAATTTACAGGGGTTATTTCTGCTAAACAAAGCAGCGTTCAGTGGTGTGAGCATTTGGAAAGGTAAGTATACATTCTCATCTTTTATAGGTAACAGGAGTAAAAATATGGTGACAGGGTTGCTTTAAGTATACAGTCTGGGTACTCATCGCACTCAGAGCCGCTGCTCCATCAATAGTAGGTGGGTGCAGCAGGTGTCAAAGGGTGGCTTCCGTCAAAATATTGGTAAAGGATGGACACCGGCACTCTAAAGTGAATCCAGTACGTATTTATTCACGTACTAGTTGCAAATAGAACGTATATACAATGTTTCGGGGTCTCACAGGATCCCCTTCATCAGGCACACAAGTGATCTAAGGGTATAAGCACCCATTCACACCATGGTGATTTGTGGTAACACATGTGCTGCAACGCCCTTTATTGTTCATTGCAACTGCATTGCTGTAGCCCATTCATTTAAAAAGGCTCCCCCCACTATTTTGCTGTAGTGTAGCTGCATTCTGTAAATGTGTTGGCTTGCCATTTTAAATGAATTGAACCACAATGCATTGCACTGTGATTGGGTGCATTACCAAGCATTCCAGTAACGTGTGCATTTTACTGCGCATTACCGCATTGCCATGGTGTCAATGGGCCCTCAGTCCTGCAGTCTTCAGTCCAATCACAAGCCCTCTTCACAAGTGGGCATTTTCCCATCTGACCGGGGTGGCTGGATAGTGCATGCAGCAGGTTGAAAATCAAAAGTAGTCAACACGCCAATGATGTCACATCCTTTCACAAAACTTTATTTAGGCAAATTGTGAATGATTGCTTGAGAACCATCTGTATGACGCATTTCACCCTTACAGGATGTTAAAGATATCCCATCGCACTCAAGACCAACATATCTCTTCTTGCAGTGGGTGCTGAAATGGGCAGCAGATGGGGCCACAGAGACAGTAGCGGCAATGGGGTCACCGACACACTGGGGTCCACATTATCAATCCGTGCTTTATTGACGTTAGATAAACATGCTATCACAAAAGATCGCAATGTTCGGAACCTGTGTGATCCCTTCGTCAGGCAAAACAATGTGACGATTCACATTGTTTTGCTGAAGGGAGCACACTAGTTCCGAACATTGTGATCTTTTGTGATAGCATGTTTATCTAATGTCAATAAAGCACGGATTGATAATGTGGACCCTGGTGTGCTGGTGACCCCGTTATGACTATTGTCTCTTGATTCATCATAGAGATGGGAGAAGGTCTTTGACCACCTCAGCTCACAGGAAGTGGGATATACATGATACTGGGCATTCAATGCAGAGCAATATATTTTTTAACAAATGTTCATGAGCTGAAGTTACTATAAAGAGTGCCAAGAGCACCATTACAATCACGTCAAAGGTAGTGCGCATGCGCAGAGTTCCATCCAGCAGCCCGCTCTGGCTACAGTAGTCGCACTCGCAGCATCCCACATTGCACCGCGGGATCAGGGCCGGTAGAGGGCGCTGTGGCCACCATTCCGCTTACGTTATTCCGGTTTGTACAGAGTTGCTGGTCGTGGCCTAGTAACGGGAGATTTCGGGTCTTGTACCATTACCGAGTCTGTTATCCCTCACACGGGGCGGCGAAGCCAGATTCTGTCGGGAGCTTTTCAGGCGGACACCGTGATGGTGCCGCAAGCAGCCAACATGGATGAAACCATTGACAAGATCGACATGTCTCTTGGTATGTATGTGACTATATATATATCGTGACAGTGGTTAATGCGGTGCGCTGGCTAGCTTTCCTTATATTGGCCTTCAGGACATTGTGATCCATTGGGGGGAGAGACACCCGGATTCAGGCTCTGATTTCACTAAGTATGCAGGGCTGTATATAATATAAATGAGCAGGCATGGCTTAAATAGGCTCTTCAAAAATAAAAATGATTGCTGGCCCATTTACATTCGTGGGGAGTGTTAGCATGCTGAAATCAATGGGCTTCCTATGCACAAAATGTGACACAAATCAGACATCACAACATTTTTGCCACATCGCAATGATGTGTTGCAGCGCGTTGGCTAAGGGCCGCTTCACACCAGGGGCGTTGGGCTGCGCTGGGCACCTTTTCCCATCTCAGTCCATACCAAAAAGGAGACCACATGCCTTGTTTTCCCTTAGCACGATTCAGTGTGCTGAAAATACAGCATGCAGTACTTATTTCTCAGCGCTGCATGACGCAATGCATTTTGTTGCACTGCAACCAAAAGAATGGGCTTAAATGTAATTTCAATAAAGTTTAAAAAAAAAGTTTCCAGCTCATGATCTGCCTTCACAGCGCACACCAACAGCTGTGTTCTAATGAGCCGTTAGTACGTTGGCGTGCTATTTGAAAATGAATGGCACTGCAATGTAGGGCAATTATTCTCATCATCGGTTAGTTGTTTAGGGGCGGGGGGAAGAGAGAGGGAGAGAGAAATTTGAATGCAACCAATCGATTAGTTGAAAAAAATAATTAGACTAATTATGAAAATTATCGTTAGCTGCAGCACTAGTGCAATGCGTCAAGTTACGGTATCAATTCCAAAAGATGTCACCAGCACTTGGAGTGCTGATGACATCTTTTGGAATTACTACTTGACTACACGGTGCCTCCGTGGTCGCTACAAGCACCCTATTACAGACATCATCTCCTAGGAGATCCGGTAAGGAGTGCAGGAAGATACACACAATTTTGTACAAGTTACGGTATCATGCACATTAATGCAACTAAAACATATAAATAACCCCTAATGCTAAATCTCTAAATTGGAAGATTGTGTGACCCTGGTTGAATAATATGGAAAATATTTAGGGATGCACAGATACCTGTTTGTCGGTATCCAGTACTGATATTTCGGTACTTCCGCTAGCATGGAGCCGGCTTCCTGGGCAATTGGGAAGCCGGGCCGCGTGTTATTACCCGCCGCCTTGATTCTTGATTGCCCAGAAAGCTGGCTCACGCTGTTTAGCCAGATCGATGCTGATTGGCCGGGAAGCCGACTTCCCAGCCAATCAGGAAGCCGAAAGGCTTGTCATTACCCACCGCCCCCGGTTTCCTGATTGGCTGGGAAGCTGGCTCCATGCTGATTGGCTGGGAAGCCGGCTTGCTGGCCAATCAGCATCGAGCTGGCAAACAGCATGGACCTGGCTTCCTGGCCAATCAGGAATCCGGGCAGCGAGTTATTACCTGCCAGCCAGCTCCATGCTGATTGACTGGGAAGCCGGCTTCTCGGCCAATCAGCATCAAGCCGTCTTCCTGGCCAATCAGGAAGCCAGGCAGCGAGTCATTACCCGCCGTCCGGCTTCCTGATTGGCCGGAAAGCCGGCTCCCTGTTACCCCATGGCACTGCCGGTCAGTGGAAAACTCCCTCTGACCGGAAGTTCCGCTATCGGAGCATTTGGGCGAGTACTTGCCCAAATACTCTGTATCGGCACCGATATCAGTATCGGTGCATCCCTAAAAATATTTCCCAGTTTCAGTACCTGGAATAAAATTTCTGTTGCCCAGGCTATCACATTTGGGGTGTAAAGTATGTGTCACCAAAGTGGGCAACTGAACTCAGCTTTCAGCAATGATTTACCTACCTCCAGATCCTTCAGGGTCATATTAAATCTCTATGCTTTAAAGCAGGGGTGGGGGACCTCTGGCCATCCAGCTGTGGTGATACTACAAATCCCATGATGCATCTGTCTCTGGGAGTCATGGCTAAAAATCTTGCAATGCGTCATGGGATTTATAGTTTCACCACAGCTGGAGGGCCATTGGTTCCCTACCCCTGCTTTAAAGTGACACTAAACTCAGGTGTTAAATCCTAAAAATACATTCAAGTTCCTTAACTAACTATTAACAAAAATGGGGGGAATTTATCAAAACTGGAGAAGACAAAATCTGAAGCAGATTTGCACTACAGCCAATCAGCTTCTCTGTCTCATTTTCAAATCTTACCTGAGCAAACTGAAGAGAGATACTGACTGTCCTTCCTTCTGGAGGGTGGCTAATTTTGTTCCCCATGGTCCCTCTGTGTGTTGTAAAGTAGTCACCGTTCCAAGCTCGCTAAGAAGCCCCCGATATAATAGCCAATTTACATGACAGGTCCTCTTTATGGAGACATCAGGGGTCTCCAAGACCCCTAATGTCACCTAGGGACCCCCCAGAGAAGCTGATGAAGCAGAGATCGGCTTCATCAGCTTCTGTAGCTGGAGAGTGACACTGAATGCAGGAAGTGATGTAATATACATCACTTCCTGCATTCCAGGACTGAGAGGAGATCAAAGGGAGTTCGTATACTGAACCCCCTCTGATCTCCTGTCACAGAGCCGTGCCGGTCCCGGCTGCATCGGGCACAGCAGATCTCGGGACAGGCAACGGCAGTGACAGCTGCTGATACAAGCGATGGAGCGTCTCTAGAGATGCCCGATCGCTTGAATGTAAAGCGGCCGGCCGTGTAATTACAACGGCTGGCCGGAAAGATGCTCGTCGGGCTCCACCGTCCTCTCGTCACAGACGAGTGGATTTTTCAAGCCCTGTGTGAGAACTGTTTTTTTTTTGCTTTTTTTTCTAACTTAAACACCTTCTTGTAGGTGTTTTTAAACGTCCCCTCTCCATCCACCACCCCCGCTCGTGCCCCCGCTAGGCAGGACGCATGAGCGGGAAATCTGTTTGGCTGTTTACATACAAGTGTTCCGGCATCTGTAGCGGTGCCCGATCACTTGTATTATGCATGCAGGTGGGCGCCCCCCCATGTGATAGCAATAAGGTATTGCATCACATCTGCATTCAGCTGTCATTCCAGTCTACAGAAGTGTAGGAGAAGCTGGTGAAGCAGATCTCTGCTTCATCAGCTTCTCTGGGGGACCCTAGGTGACATTAGGGGTCTTGGAGACCCCTGATGTCTTCATAAAGAGGACCCATCACTGTATATTGGCTATCACATAGGCGGCTTGTTAGCCCCCTATGTCATAGCAATAAAGTTAAGTGAAAACAAATTTCAATCAGAGATTTAAAAAAAAAATGTAAAGTACCCCCGGCCCCACATACACAAGGAAACATGTCGAGTGCGCCTACGTGCGGCCATTACGCTGCATATGTTGCATATCACCGAAAACGTTGGAGCGTGAACAATAATTCTAGGGCCACCGATCACTGATTGATGAGCTGTACAAGCTTTTAAAATGTCGCTTATGGCTAATTTTGGGTATGGTAGTTTTTTTTAGCAATTTCGCGGGCACACACAATTTTAAGGCTTGGCATGTTTGGTGTCTATTCACCCGACGTGACCCCGTCTTTTATGTATTACCAAAAAATTGGGTGATAATAAATGTTTCATAACTGAAAAATGGCCTGGCCAGCAAGGGGGTTTACCAGCACGATCATCAAGTGGTTAAAATGGTCTTTCAGGTGCGTTAGTGGGTTTGCATGTGTGTTTTTGGGTTTTTTTTGCATTCCAGACCAGACAAAATGAGACCTGGAGTATTTTTCTGGTCTGGAACGGACTGCGCTGGTGTGTACAGAGGCCAGAAATAGCATAGGGATGCATTTTGGGTTCGGAAACTATCTGGTCTAGGGGATGATGTGGTGTGAATGGGCCCTTAGGGCTTGTTCACATCAGGTCTGGATCACCAGAACAGTTTGTTCCCGGACCAAAAAAAGCTTCTCAGTGTACCCCTATGATCAGGGCTTTAAAAATTTGATGGCGTCTCACCAGTCAGTCAAAAATGTCACCAGTCAGCATGACCGGACTATAGCCTTGCAATTTTTATGTTAAAAAATGTTGGGGACAGATAGAGCTTCCTTTTGGAGGTATATAAGGAGCTTACCATAGAGCCCATTGAACAGACGAAGAACGCCGTTCTTCGTCTGCTCTGTGTGATTACTGAGACAGCGCCACCTGTCTCAGCGTTCACTAACTGCAGCTACCACCTTTTGTATCACTTGCCCATCGCTTTTAGATTGTAAGCTCTCATGGACAGGCTCCTCCCAACCATCCTGTCTTTGTATTGTAACTGTAATGTCTTCCTTATTTTGTAAAGTGCTGCACAAACTGTTGGCACTATATAAATCATGTATAATAATAACAAATATTTTGAAAATATTATTTTTCTACTGATGTCCATACATACGATTTATCAAGTTTTAATGTGATGTTATTTTTTCCTCTCAGATGACATTATCAAGCTGAACAAGGAACAGCAAAATAAAGCTGCTTTCAATGGGGGAGCTCAGACCAATTCCTTTCCATGGTTTCAGAATAGCTGGAATTCCCGACGAGCAACAGGTAAAAAATATATTTGGGATTTTTCTACAACACATTCCAAAAGACTGAGTAGTCTGACTAGCTGTAAAGGTGGGAGTAGTAGCTCTAGGTTTTCTTGATGTCTACGGATACTGTGAATCACATGACTTGTTGCAGCTTGTTGAGCGTGACAGCTGTTTATGGTTTAATTGTTATATGTGGATGTGTAACCTAACTGAACAATGTTTGATTTATTTTATTTAGGCAACGGAGTACAGGGAAAGAAAAATGGCACGTTTGGGGTTAAAACAGGCTTAGCATTTCGGAAAATGGCTTCATGGAAAGGCATCAGTCCGCTAAACCGTCCTCCACTTAGCTTGAGGGTAAGTAGTTTCTGTCAGCTATGTGTGTCTTCTGTATGGCACAGTGGTCCCCAAACTACGGCCCACGGGCCAGATGCAGCCCTGTGCTTGGCTTTAACCCCTTCGTGACTGACGACGTACAGTGTACGTCGCCAGCATCGGGGCTGTACCCTTAGGATACTGTTCTTCCCACCGAACCCAACAATGGGGCACTGTTCCTTCCCAATGATACCAAAGATAAAGCACTATTACTCCCAATTAATAGCAATGATGGAGCACTATTCCTTTCACTGACATCAACCCTGGGGAATTATTTTTTCCTCCCATAGACCCCCCCGAGTCTTGGGCATTGTTGACTCCCACTAATGCCAGGGGACTTTTTACTATCATTGGCCACAATGCAGCCCCCGTAATATCTGAAGGACAGTGAACCGGCCCTTTGTTTCAAAAGTTTGGAGCCTCCCGTATAAAGCAATGAGCTCCAGTTCCTTCCTAAAATGTTAGTTGCTTGGCTGTGATGTGGATGCTTTGGTTTCAGTACTCTGAATCAGAATTCCTTGTCTCTAACTTGGTCCAGGTCTATAACTCAATTTGTTACATGCTCGTTCTAGAGCTGTAACGCACAAGTTTTTAAACTCCCAGACAACTTACATTTTTGGAAGCAGAATGGCGATAGCAGGGCACATATTTCTGTCATGATAGGTTAACTTTAAAGCTGAGGTCCAGGCAAGCCATGATATACATGCATGAGTTTTTTTACCCACTAAAGGATTTGTATTCCTGTCCATCCAGTCCTAAGATTTACTAAACTCTGTCTGGCAGGGGATGGGCTTTATCTTTCTCTGATGCAGTTTGACTTTCAGTTTCAGGTGTGCTCCTCATCCCACCCTGAAGGTGCCCATACACTGCACGATTCTCGTACGGGAATCGCGGGAAATCCCGCGGTCGTACGAGAATCATGCAGTGTATGGAAGGCGTGCAACCGTTTCTAACGTATGCTCGCACGACTTTTGTATTTCGAGCATGTTGGAAAACCAGCCGAGAATCGTACGATAACGGTTTTTAACATGATTGAGAGATGACTGCCGAACGGGCCGGTGTGCACACGCGCACACTGCCCATTAAGCATTGCAGTCATCGGAAGACCGCCCCTCAGGGGGGGCGGGCTTGCGATGATCGCAAGTACGATCTGCCTGTCAAAGATGGGCAGATCATACGTTTTTTTTAAAGTACTTTACAACCCTCGCAAGACACAAGTCTTGCAAGGGTTGTAAAGTGTATGGGCACCTTGAGACTGGACAGTGAAAGGAGAAGTGGCACACTGATAAGCTTGTCACTCTGCTCCCCACACCAGCATGCTACTTGCCCTGCAGAACTTCTTGCCCTGTAGAAGTTTGATTGTCTCCATGTGTTGCTTTTCCCTTCCCCTCTCTGAGCTCTTCTGTACAGTATGCTGCAATTGTCTCATACCAAGCCAAATTCAGGTGGTCTCTGCTTGCATTTAAAAATACATTTAGTGAATTAAAGAGCTACATTGCTTGTATTTTTATATAGACTTGGGTCAGCTTCAAAGGATGGGGTTTTTTTGTTAACAGCATTAATGTAAAAAAAAAAATGTATACTAACTATATGCCTCTCATGATTTTATGAAGAATTCAGAAGGTCAGTGGTCGCCCTTAAGGAGGAGAACAAATCTTTCCAGGCGCCTAGGATTTGCACCTCCTGTGAAGAGAAATTATTTCAATAGGTAAGCTTGACAAGTACGATTTTAACCTCGTGTAAAGGCTTTTTCCACCTAAGGGTTTAAAGTGTATTTCCAAATTGGCGGATAAATGCCTCTATGTTTTTTGTTTGTATTCACACAGCATACCTTAAAAAAAAAAAAACGTTTGGAAAAAAAATATTTCTTACCTTTTTAGATGTCTGAGTGGCTGGCCTTTGGAACTTCTCTGTACAATTTCAAAGTAATATTAACCACTTCAGTGCAGGCATGTAACGCCCCCTTTCATTACCAGGCCATTTTTCAGTTTGCAGTGCTGATCAAGTTTGATTGAGAAGAATTTCTCCATCACGCAACGCTGTAACAAAATAACGTTCTATCATTTTTTTGGAACAAATAGAGCTTTCTTTTATTGTTATTTTATAATATATATATATATTTTTATTTTTTTTGTTAAAGTCTCCCTACCTACCAGTGATCTGATTTTCTTTTGTGGGGGAATGAAGAGACATTAAGGCATTGGGGGAGCTTGGTAATAATGCACAAGATACAATAGATGTGTGCCGGTCATACACATAGGGATGTGAAGGGGTTAATGTAGTGGGAGGATGGAGATGAAGGGGTTAAAGCACAGATGTGCAGGATAAGTGTGATGAAGGGGTTTAATACACACATCGGAGTAGAGATAGAAAGGAGCTAACATAAGAGAGTAGGGGGAGGGTGAAATGGTTGAATTTTTATTTTAGTTGTTTTTACTTTAGGAAGCAATGAATGGATAACTCATCCATTCCTCACTCCCTCTACTCTCTCTGCAATGTAAACATTGCCATATGATTGCTGTGATAACTAATCACAGGATTGCTCTCTGCTGTCTGACAGCGGCTGCAAGCACTCGCCTTCACGGGAGAACATACATGTATGTCCTCCTGGAACAATGCACCAGCGGACCAGCCATTTTAAATAGAGTGGCTGTAATCCTGCCAAGCATTGTACATTTGTTGGGAGGAAAAGCTCTTGTTTGTCCATGCTTACACTAATATTTTCATTCTAGGGTTAAGGTCACATTTCATGAAGACATGGACATTGTGGTCTGTGACACACCGTATGACAGAATAGTAGGGTTTGTGGGGTGCTACAAAATGTCTAGGAATTAAACCAAAGTTTTGCCCAGAGTTCTTTAGATAGGTATTTCATTGTCATATTGATGGGGTGGAGGGGGAACCAATATATGCAGATATATCTGCAACTTGAAGAGTATGCTTTCTTAGTAATAATATTGTGATCCCTTTTATTTAACACTGCAGTAGTTACTCACAAACTTCTACCTTCAGAAGAGGATTGAGGACAAATCAACAAAGAGACCAACGACCAACAACCTTTTTCCAGAAGCGAGGCCTAAAGGTAATGACATACAAGTTCTCAATGTCTAAATATTTTCAAACAGCTTGTGTTGTTTAACATAATTGTAGATGTTTTACTGGAAAGAAAGACAGAAATGAAAGTTAGACATTTCACCTCAGTTGTTGGCATAATAATGCAGCAATCATTTTGTCTGTTCTTTGGGCAATTACAAGTACTAGCACATTAAATAAGCTAATCTGCCTCACTGCCTGTACTGTACTTGTCTTTATGTGACACAGAACTACACATAACATATATACTGTTATCATAGGTTGTAGGCCGCTATTTAAATTGTGTGTCCAGCCAAAACATTTTTCCCCAGTCATCTTCCAGGGCAGCATCTGAGAGAAGGGATCCTCCCACCTGAAACAGGAAACACATCATCCACAATTAGAATAAAAAGGGCGGTCCCTCCTAACCACCTCCAGTATTTTGTGTTTCCTCCTGCCGAACAGGAGCATTGTAACATTTGTTATTTTACTCCAGGCCTTCGTGCTAGATTGCAGGGGCCTCCTGAGGCATGTGGCTCTCACTCGCAGGTACAGTGGACCTGGAGGGGCCTCATGCACAGGACATTTAACCTGGACTGGTTCCCCAGAGTCCTTATAATTGAAGGAGATGGCAACTATCCTTGCTGGCGTAGTGACTCTAGTTGAGTCCCCCAAAGTGTCCTGCTAGAGGAATTGACGGAGGACCCTTTGGGCTCTCTGGCCGGTAGCAGAGCTGGGTCACAGCAAGACATGAATACTGTGCCTTTTCGGCGATCCACCCCGGCAAGGAGGGGTGCCAGGAGTGGGGCATGAGCGCGAGTCCAGCCGGCAGAGGGGGTGCACACCATCAGACTCTTCATTCCAAGGCATTATTATTATTACATAGGTACAAGGTAGGCAGGTCCACAGTGGACAAGTCCTCCCTACCTGTACCCTTCTTTCTCTGGGGGCCTGCTTCGATGGGGCAAAGGGTCCTTGGCTTGGTTTATGCACCTCAGTGGGTTTCTCTCCACGTGGGTGCAGCTTGTTCTTGGGTGGCAGGCTCTGAGCCCTTCCCTTTTTTGGCTTAAGTTTGGTCCTCAGAGGATATGCCCCTGCCAGCAGAAGCCAACACACCCTAAGATGTGCTTCCTGCATTGACAAATTGTTTTTATTCCGGTCCAAGCCTTTCTGCCAGATCTGCTTATCTCCTATGAGTGACATGCATGAGAGAGAGTCCATGGTCATATCTCTCTCAGACAAGATCTGGTTCCCCAGAGGCTTGGGATAGATCCTGGCAGTCTCTTTGTTAGGACAGCCTTGCCGTTCCACTTTTTTTCTTTAGACTTCCCCTGCACTATCCCTTCTTGTGTACATATTGCTGGGTGTAGGGAGCATGCTTCGTTGTAACGCCTTATACTGGAAAGTATTCCTAGTAGTGCCAGTCTCATGGAAACCTGAGACTGCAGGGCTGCACTCTGTTGGAGGTAATGTGGTGTGTTTTGCAGTGCTCAATCATGTTCTTAAGCCTGCAGACAACATACCGGTGAATCAGACGGCATGTATGTAGTAGGGATGCACCAATATATCGGCCGCCGAAACATATCGGCTGAAAATGCCACTTTTGGCATAATGCAGAAAGTGCAATTTTCTGGCCGATACAGCGGTGCATCCATTCTTTCTCTCCTCCCCGCTGAGCGCTGCTCTGTGTCCCAGCTGGGAGGAGAGAAAGTGCCACAGGTGGCCGAGCGCTGTGAGCGGCCGCCATTTCTCCTCTCACACCACTCCGCCTCCTATCGCATATCGGCAGAGCGGTATGGTCGTAGACAGCCCGCGCTGTCACAGGAGGCTGAGCTCTCCTCCCTGCACTGCTCGCTCAGCCTCCTGTGACAGCATGTCAGAGAGGAGAGCGAGTACAAACACTCAGCGATCGCTGAGTGTTTGTAGATAATTGAGGACATTGTATGGTTACTATATCCTCAATTATGAATGAATGGGAGTGTTCATCACCTCCTGTTCATTCATAGTTGTAGTAAACACACAATGTTCTCATGTTATCAATGAACAGGAACACTCATTGAGGATTCCTGTTAATTTATAACGGGATATTGAAAAAGAGAGAGAGGACTTTGTGTCCTCAATCTCTTTCTCTAATGGGAAATATCAGGGGTCTGTTTAGACCCCCAATATTTCCCCAAAGCCCCTAAAAGTAAAGTAAAAAATAAAAATATTTAATAAATATAAAAAACAAATAAAAAATAAAATATTTTACAAATCTGAAAAAATTAAAATAAACATTTTCGGTTTTGGCCTGACAATTTTTTTTTATTTTGGTTTCGTTTTTCGGTTTTGAATTTTACATTTCGGTGTGTGTGTGTGTGTGTGTAAAATATATATGTGTGCAGCATACGTTGAATGAGTGAATAAGCAAAAGACGGCTCATAATGTTTACTGCGTTGCCAGAGTTATAAGAGGCTGCAGGAACAAATCCTTGCCCATTATCTCTAATATAGCAGAAGTGTGTGGTACCTCCGCAAAATAGGTGGATAAAGGAAATTACATGCGTTATGGTGAATGTGGTTATGGGAGTTCTGCAGGCATATGCTCTGAACACATACTTGACTTCTGTGATCTTGGATAAAGAGCCCAGGCTCTCTCAGGTAGGGTTTGTTAGTCACATTCACAGCAGATGCAGTTGGTGACAGTTGCATCCAGGTTGCGATGTTAATTTCTATTTGTTCTAGACACATAAAAACATGTTTAAACGCATGTAAAATACAAATGATGGCAGAATGTAACTAGATGCGTCTAGACACATACGCATGTAGGCATTCACATGCATAAGTCCTTAACACAGATAGGAGCATAATTTCAGCACCTAGCTGGCCAGATTTGTTTCTGCACATAGAGCCATGGAGTGCAAATGGCAAGTATGCATGTCACCATATACCGCCTACCTTATGTATACTGGCACCTACTATGTAACCCTGGTTGGCTTAAGCTTATCATATGGGGGTTCCCCTGGACGGGATGTTGTTAATGCAACTTTTTACCAGACGTATACAGGTAAAAATCTACTGGGCTATATATAGCATATGTTTTGTTAGGGGTCTTCTATGGGGCATAGCTTTTTTTTTCCAGGCAATACCATGAAAATCACTAGCTTTGTCCTGTATCCACCTCAAGCAGGGCTTCATGTGATAAACTTCATGCTTTTACGCTCTGTTCAGATTTCACACAGGAGAATTGGCCTTATATCCGGGTGGATGTATAGGTGGTATTCGCCCTGCTGGGTGTGAATGGCTTGGGAATACTGACCTCTAAATTCAGAAGGCATTTTGCATGATCAGGCACATGCTTTAGCGAAATGTTATGCGGTTTAAAATCAAAGTAGTATGTTTTCATGCCAGATTATTTTATGTTTTAAAGAATTGGAATCAAACACAGAGATGTGATTTGAGACCATTGTTCTGGACACACAGCTGAATGCAGCAGATTTGGACAAGCCCTAATAAACAAGATCACTGCAAAGACCAGCTACATACTTCAGGGTTCATGGTTGTACCTGGAGCTATGCACTATATGCATTGTTTAATAGTCTATTGGGTACAACTACATGGTAGGGCGACAGGTTTAGTATGCTGAAGTAACGACCTTTTTTTTAGTTTTTTTGTTACATACATCAGCTTCTCTATTCTGCCTATAGTATTGGAGGAGTGTTAGATCTTAGGATCATAGACCAGCCATGTGATATTTGTTTTATCTCCATAGTTGCCTCTTCTTGCTTAATGGCACTTTGCAGTACAGGTCAGGTCCAGTAATGGCTCCAAAGCTGCCGCACTGTTTTCTCTGTTGGGAAAGAGAGGGTGTCGAGCGTGCATGTAATGAAGGGTTAAACTCTTTGTTATATTTGCTCATTTAAAAAAATCCTATGCTTAACTCTTTAAAACATAAGTTAGGTACCTAGACGGGTTACTCTATATGAAGACAGGTTACTCTATATGTACGGATCTGCTGATGTATTAAGCGGGACTTACCAACAACACTGGTCGTCCTGTATTGTACTGTACAGTATGGCATCCTAGCTGTTTGACTGTTTCGCGGCATTCCGCTTGGAAGATGTGATATGTTTGATCACACTGTATGTCTTACTTTTCTTATGTTCAATAAAATTATCATTTTAAATGGAAAAAAAATAAGTTAGGTACCTGGTAACTTTGTTTTCAGGAATCTTACAGGGCAGCACGAATTTCCGCCCTGCTTATTGAGGGGTGTGGTTCAACATGAATTTCATTGTTACTGTCTGGTGGTCCTTTCTGCCCTTCGATTCTATGGTTATACTGGAGGTGGTTAGGAGGTACTGCCCTTTTTATTCTAATTGTGGATGATGTGTTTCCTGTTTCAGGTGGATGGATCCCTTCTCTCAGATGCCGCCCTGGAAGATTCCTGGAAGCAAAGTTACCAGGTACCTAACTTATGGGTTTTTTGGGGGGATAGAGTATTGCAGGATTAGCAGGGCTTGAAAAATCCACTCGTCTGCTCATCAGTGACGAGAGGACGGTGGAGCCCGACGAGCAGCTTCCCGGCCGGCCGGGAGCTTTACAGTCAAGCGATCGAGCGTCTCTATAGACGCTCGATCGCTTGTATCAGAAGCTGTCACTGCCGTTGCCGGTCCCGAGATCCGCTGTGCCCGATGCGGCCCGGCACGGCTCTGTGACAGGAGATCATAAATGTCGGGATCCGCTTCAGCTGCGGCGTCTCAGAATACAGCGAGCTGCAGCTCCCTATATACTGAGCTTAGGGTGATGGGAGGACGCTAGTTTGTGTCCTCCCGTTACCCTAAGGAGAACTATGGGGAAAATCCCTGACCCCATAGTTCTCCTTTAATCACTGATAACACTAAACTGATGAACAGTAAAAGCGTTTTAATCGTCGCCTATTGGCGTTTTTTTTTTTCGATTTTGCGGGCGCACGCAATTTTAAGGCTTGACATGTTTGGTGTCTATTTACCCGACGTGACCCCGACTTTTATGTTTTACAAAAAATACGGGTAAGAATAAATGTTTTATAACATAACGTAGGGAAACCTTTTTTTGTTTTTTTTCTACATTTATGGTACTTTTTTTATTATATAGTAAAAAAAAATCCCCCCCGTGGTGGTTATATACCTCCCAAAAGAAAGCTCTATCTGTCCCCAAACTTTTTTAACATAAATTTCAAGGCTATAATCCGGTCATGCTGACTGGTGAAATTTTTGACTGACTGGTGAGACACTATCACATTTTTCAAGCCCTGAGGATTAGAACCTCTTTGGGGTCTTACTGCTATTTGGGACTCCGTTTTACAGAGGTTTCACCAGATAGGAAGTGAGGGTGAACCTCCAACGGCAACACGGGCAGTATTTTATTTTTTAGTTGAGTAAGGGAAGGCTAGAACCCCTATCGGTTTTTATTGCTGTCTGTTGCAAATTAGTCATTTCCCATCTGGAAGTCGGGGAATATCAGCTGTCCATTGTTAAAATAGAAATATGAGATGAGTGATTTCCACTCACCTCATAGTTCTAGCCGACATGTGACAATGAGACTGTCACAGGTCGGCTCAGTAGATCGGGAGGTGAGCGAACAGATACCGGCGCTCACGACTCGATCCTGTCACAGCTCTCTGCCGTGACAGGGGAGGGGCTGGATTCCCCCCTCCCCGCTCCGATCCGCCAGCGCTGACTGGATAGGCAGAGCCAGCTGTCACTCACGCAGCTGGGCGGATATCGACATCGATCTGTAGCTCGCGGTATGCTTAGGGTAACGGGAGGACGCTAGTTTGTGTCCTCCCGTTACCCTAAGGAGAACTATGGGGAAAAGCCCTGACCCCATAGTTCTCCTTTTTAAAGCAGAAAGTTAGGGGAAGTTTCTTTTAATGTAGTTCTAGACAGTAGCAAAACCCTTCCCCGCATTATCCAAAACTCACACTACATACAATGTAATTTGTCCTAATTGCTGTATGGGATAGGGATTCAATCTGGTGTCTCAACTGTTTCAACATTTTCTTGAAGCTCACACTAGCTTCTCATATCTGTGAGATGTCAAACTCCCCCTCGTCCTTATTAAAACTGGCATGGTAATTAAGCTTTCACATCATCTCAATGCATTATAAAACAAAGGGAAAAAAATGGGTACTGAAAATATTGATATCATCATCTATATTGAAAGTAATGTTGCAACATTAAAGTTATATAGTGGCTTAGATGTGTTTCCAGGAAAAACAGCTCTTGGTCCAACAGGGCAGCAGGCAATAAGGCACAGCGCCAAAGTACATCACTCACAGTTTGCCTGGACCCTTTTATTTGTGCCTTGTCTGTTGCGCTCAAGACACTTGTGGGTAAACTTTCTAATAAGAGGGAGAGGGGCTGCAAAGTCTGATTTAAAAGTCCTAAATCTTTCTGTAGCTCAAGTAATAAGAAGCCGTCCACGCTTCTGCATGTTTTTGATTGGTAGACTGCAATAACACGCAACAACAGGAAAAAATAGTTTCAACTTTCCCAATATTGTACAGCTAGTTGGAAATTCATGAATGCAGTTAACAGGGTTAAAGCCTGCATGATAGGACATTTGCTTTCATCTATATACAGCCATGGATATCTCTAGAGGTAATATAAATTGCAATCAGTACAGCAGTGTAAATCCTCTTTAATGTAACTTACAGATAAAGATTATACAGAATGTTAAATCTTTACTAACCTAAATTGAAATACTACTGATGGTGTCCTTATGCTTTTTTACTGTAGGTTCAGACTGCTATGGAAATGGATCAACTTGAAGAGTTGCCAGAACTAAACAGGACTTATCCGTGAGTATCTAGCACTGTACAACTTTTTTAGCACTTCCATTTCTCCACCACTTCTGTTTGCCACCGGCTCAATGGAGCTGCAGTGGCCCTACTTATCGTGGCTTATTATTCTTTGCAGCAAAACAAAAGTTGATGCAAGTCCATCGAAGATGTGGATATTTTTGACTATATGTGCACAGTGCATGTGTACACAGACAGATAAATGTGTTTGGCCAGTAGTGTACCATGAAGTTTGCAGACAGCATCAATATAGCTCTGTGTAAAATGGAATTCATTCCAAATGGGGCTTTAATATTCTTTGACCTTCTTTGAAGTCAAACCGTTATTCAGAGACGTATGTGTGGTTGTGATTTGACCTTTTTCTAATTTGTGTTAGGTTAACAATGACTACTGGTATTGTAAATAAAAATTGAGATGTGTTGTGTTGTATAATGATGACACTAAAATTATGTTTCTAAAACAATGCAATGCAAAGATATTTACATATTAAATGAATGTCGCAAAGACATAGTGATAGAAAATCCAAAGATTTATTGTTGCCACCAAAACTGGAGGAGAGGGGATGTCTTCTATTGGAGACACTTTGGAGAGATTTCCTTCTATTTTTCTTTCATGTCTCTGGGACAGGAAGTGAAGGTAAATCTCTCTAGTGTGACACAGATGGAAACATATAAAACTTTGAACTATTCCCTACTTTAAAATGGGATCTGTGTCATTAAAAATTTACTTTTTTCATTTGTCCTTGGAACAATGCTCCAACAAGACTTGCAAATCATTCTGGCATTTGCGTTGTTTGTAAGTTGTGGTTGAAGGTGGGCCCATTTTTGTGTACTCTTGTAGCCAGATTTTGGTTTGGGTCCTTTTTTCATTGTGTGTTTTTTGTACAATGCTCTGCATAAGTTTTTACTGTCCCCCTTGTGCTTTCCTCACTTTACTAGATGGAATTAAGTGATATTTTATCTTGATGATCTACCCAAAATAGCACATGACGTTCAAGTGGATAATTCTGTAATTTTCCAGTTATGTACAAATTAAAAAACTGAGAGGTTTAAATAAGCATTCATCTGCATTGCTGTAAAAGAAATAGTTTTGTGCAGGTGTTGTTTTCAGAAGTCTCATAATTAAATGGAGAGTGTAACATGATCTCAGAATAAATGCACCTATTTATGGGATCTTGGTAATCGGCATCATGAAGATCAAGGAGCTATCAAAACAAGTCTGGAATAAAGTTCTTGAAAAGCAAGTATGATTAGGGTATTTAAAAAGATGGCGTTCTTTCTTATCCATTGAGTGACGCATGGATTTTCATCTTTTGGCTTATACTCCTGCCTACAGATGGATAGGACACAGGCCAACCCCTCCTCCTACCATCATGCCTCACGTTTTTGCAGTGTCCGAGAAGGATAGACGTCTTCTCCTCAGCTTCTCCTACCTATCTTTGTTGGCACCTTTTTATTTTTTATTTTTTCTTCTTGTTCTTTAAGATTTTTCTTCTTCTTTTAATTAAGACTCTTTTCTACATCGCTGCTAGAGCTTGTTTCTTCCATTGCAGCTATCCTTTAGCCTTGCTTTTGGAGTATTTTGTCTGGGCCTTGTTGGACTGGACATTGCTTGGATAGCCTGGGAGTATCCTTTGGACTTTGGTTTGCCCACAGGGTACTTTCCAGACTGTGTTTGTAAAGGTAACCTGCAGGGTGCTTTGCAGATACAGAGCCGCTGGCATTGACTCAGCATTTGCCCTGTTTCTGATGGCTCACTTTATGAATAAGATGGTTCTGAGCTACCGCAATTACATAGCTTACTGGAACCTTTCAAATTCCCCATTTCCTGCCAGTTTCCATAGTGGAAGGGTTTAATGCTGTGGGATTTGTCATCCTCTGTGTGTAGTGTCATGTGCACTTGCACTCTTTCTTGCCATATCACACCGAGGAAGCATCTCCCTGCAGCTGCTCCTGCTTGCAAAGAGCCACATGGAGCTTCGATTTTTGATCCATTCCTGCTGTCCGCCTACAAAAACTTTGGTCACCACTAGACATCAGATCCTCACCTGCTACCAGCTGCCTAGGTTAAGGAGTCAAAAAGAAAGAGGTGACATCCAGCTGAGCTCTATTCACTCGGACCATTTTTATTGGTGTATTCCCCTATTTAATGGGATGACGATGAGGTCATGTTCTGAAGAAGGGGGCGTGACCCCGGAAACGCGTTAACGTTGCCACTCCATATTGGCACACAGGCTGAAGCTATTAAACTGATGTATGCTTGCACTACCCATTTATGCTTCTAATCGATCTACCATTGTGAGTACCTTTGTACTCTATTTTGCTACTTTTAAACAATAAAGAACCATCTGCACTAGGGTGGGCGCCCTTCTCTTTCTTTCTTGTCTTCCAGTTATACATTTCCCTTGGCTGAAGTGGGGCAGCACCCCTAGCAATCCCGCATACACATTCCTCAGTTTTATGATCCGTTTGTGGCGCTTTTGTTTGCTAGGTTTTAGTAGTACCTAAGGCCTTGCCTCTTACCCTGACGCTTGTGTTGCCCTACTGCCACGCTGTCGCAACATGTATGCTTTTAGACCGAGGGGGAGGGGGTGCAGTCTCTCTGTATTTATGCCCCCAGCTCACATGCTACTAAACCCTCCAAGGCTGCTTGCAGCACACCTGCTGACAGTGGCCATGTCTGTAGCTTGGAATACTGTTCACCCTCTTCTCCTAGAGTCCATTCTACCATTGGAGTCCGCAGTTATTTAACCTTTTATTAACCTCTGACTGCATTGACACTCTAATTTTGAGTCTCTCCACTCTTTAATGAGCTTGTTCCTGAGGCATTGCAGTCCAGTGCTATAACTCCCAAATTAAGAGATCGTTTTAGTTATCGATGTGGTGTGCACATCACCTCTACCAGTGGTGTTTTCCAGTCTTGGGTCCTTTAGTGCCCCCCAGGACCATTTATTTTAACTCTTTTGCTACTGAGATTGAAAACACCTTGACAGGCTGTCTGCTTCTTCCAATTGCTTATCCCTTGAACCTGTCTGGGGAGGATTTTGTACAAAAGTGGTTTAACCCGCTGTTAATCCAGCAGGATCCTGCCTTAACAAAAGTGACTACCACACCGGTGGAGGATACACCTGTTTTTATGAGCACAACCAATAAGCAGCTGGAAGTCCTTTCTAGAACTTTGTACTTCCTGGAGGGCCCTGCTCTTCACCCAATCTTGGCTATGTATTTACTGTGCCAAGGGTGATTGGTTCTAAATCTTAGAATAGCCCAAACCTCAATTCAGTTCACATTCTGTGGCACGATTTGAAAATTGCTGTTCAGCAGCAAGCCCCATCCAGCCTGCCAGAGCTAGAGCAATAATAAAAAAAATAAAAAAATGGACAAAATTACAGATCCAGATGTGCAAAACTGGAAAAGGTTTACTCCAGAAGACTTGACTGTAATTAGTTTCAAAGGTGGTTCTACCAAGTATTGACACGGGGGTTAAATACTTATGAAACCAACAACTATTTGCCTTTTTTAAAATTAATTTTTGTGTAACAAGCGTGTTTGGAAAATCCACGTTAACACCAAGTTATTAAAATGTGGAAAAGTTCAAGGGGATAACTTATGTATGGTGTAGTCTAGGGAAGAGCTATTGTTGAAGTTACTATAGTTTCCAGGGAACATCACTTTTTTGCTATATTTTGAGAAACAAACGGGAATCTGTTGTAGCAAATAATTTTTGTCTTCATTCTTCTTCATTTTAGTTGGAGAACATCTATGAACAGCAGTGGTATTTTGACGGTGTCAATCGATAATCCTGCTGCAGCTGTGTTGCCAAGGTTTGTGTTTTTAATCAAAAAAATATGAAAAATGTTTGTCTGTGGGTTTTGTTTTGTGCAGTTTTGGATTTACTTAAGTTTTAAATGTATTGTACAGTACAAGGATGCCTCGGCCCCCACTGCCTTTTTTGCTGAAAAAGGATGGCTCAGAACCCAAGGTACCCAAAGGAGTCCCTCTAGACTTTGACATCAACAGCGTTGTAAAACAGGTATGCTTGGGGACTCTTACTTGCTGTGTAATTTCAATAATATAAAATTATTCATACTGGTTTTTGTTTTTGTTTTTTTTTTCTAGACTGGGATCACATTAAATGAACGTTTCAAGATCCTAAAAGAACAGAGACTGTCTCAGTCTATGAGCAAAGGCAGCAGATTTGTGACTGTAGGATGAGGCCTATTTCGTGCCTAGGATTGTTGTGTTTACGTTCCTTTTGCGGCTCCTCCGTTCCTTACTTTTTGAGCAAAATGAAGTGGGATAACTTTTGTATTGTTTTTACTGTAAAATACACAAAGGAACATTTAATCATAGAAAGTAAAAATGTGACTTGCATTTGTTAGCTCAGGTTCTCTTCTAAGGATTTGCTGAAGAACCAAGATGAGTACAGTCACTACTTCTTTTTTGACGGACATAAATATTTCCATACTAAGATGTAGAATGTTTTTTTCCCCCTTTTTATTCTTATTGTACAGTTTTAATGTACAGTTTTATTTATGCTTTACACCTATGCTCCACCTAACTGATGATGATTGATTGCTAAAATGGCTCCAAGAAACACGGCAAGATATTGTTAAACATGAGTTTGGTTTCCGTGGAGGAACTTTGGTAGAAGTCATGTTCCAGCATTTATTATTCCAGTCTAGGAAGAGACCAGGCCACTGAATGCTAACTTTTGGCACTCTTCAGCTGCATTTGTTGGGGTCCTGATTAACCGTCTTTCACTTCCTTTTGCCAACCCTATTTGGAGAAAAGTATTTGCAGTGTTCTTGTTCAGAGGCACTTTTGTTGTGTTAAGAATACTGCAAAGTAAACTGTGAAAAACAGCGTAGCTTTTGTGACAACATGGCAGTTTTGCTAATGCAAGTGTCATAAGGATGTTTTTTGTTTTTTCTTGCCTGAGCTGAGGTTCTAGGCTTTCAGCATTCCACTGGAAGATACAGTCCGTGAACCTTGTTCAAAATGTTAACTGACCCTTTTGCTATGGTTGTTTCATTCTGTTGAGGAAATAATGTTATATACCTTATCTTTGATTTTCTTTTTTCAAAATAAAAGGTTATGCACAACTGGTGGTGTACACTTGGACTGAGTTGGCTTTCAGAGATGCTATACTTTATATGGTGCACATAATGTAATTTCCAATATAAATCTTTATGTATCCTTTTTTAAATAAATGTTATATGTGACCTACCCTCTTAATCATGGCATATAATATGTACACCCCAAATGCAGATTAAGTACCGTTTCTAGTTTTTTTTCGCTCTTTGGTTTCTTTTTTAGTCCCAGCTGCCTGCTATGAAAGTGTGTGTGTGTGTGTGTGTGTGTGTGTGTGTGTGTGTGTGTGTGTCAGTTGGGCCAGAGGTGAGAAATTCTGAACAGGAGCAAGCGGGCTGTAAATAGACTGTTATATACATGTGAGGTGCTTTTATATGTGATGATTAATTAGGCTATGGGGAGCATGTATACAAATATACAATTTTATCCTCTATCTTGGATGCCTCTTAAAGAAATGTAATTTCCCAACTGACAGATGATATACTAGTTCCAGGTCAATTGTCGATATTAACATATATGGTAAAGTATATTGCATTAATATGTAGGGCTGCAGCTAACAATTATTTTCAAAATCGATCAGTTGGCCGATTTTATTACGTTCGATTTAATCGTATATAAAAAAAAAGGCTCCAGTGATGGACTACTAGTTTGTATTGCGATTGTAGTCGATCACGGGAGCAAGCTTGGAGCGGTGGAAGTAAAAAAAAAAAAGTGTGGTGTGCAATATAGTGCATTATAAAGCGGCGCAATGCAGAATACCAGCAGCTTTAGAGGAATACAACAAATAGCAGCAATAGTACACTACAGTGTACTATTGCTGGGATTTGTAGTTCTTTGTAGCTGGCGTTATTCTGCATTGCGCTGTATAATTTATTATTGCTGGGATTTGTAGTCTTCTGTAGCTGGCATTATTCTGCATTGCGCTATAAAATTTATTATTGCTGGGATTTGTAGTCCTCTGTAGCTGGTGGTATTCTGCAGTGCGCTGTTGAATGATTATACGGCGCAATGCAGAATACCAGCAGCTATAGAGGAATACAACAAATGCCAGCAATAGTCCTTTAATTCAGCGTCCTGGGCGGTGGGCGTGGCTTCAGCGTCCTGGGCGGTGGGCGTGGCTTCAGCGTCGGGAGCAGCGTGTGACGTGCGGCTCAGGCCGTGTGTGGAGCCCCGAACAGGCTAATCAATCGATAGCCGACAATCAAACGTTGACAACGTTTTCCATCGTCGATTTTAATCGATTAACTGTTGCAGCTCTATTAATATGCATTTTTGATTCGTTAAACACTGGGTGTGTAAATTATCTTTAAAACAAGTGTATGTTATGTGTGTAGCATTGCTGCACTATATAAATATCTTTGCAGCACGCCGACTGCTACACAACACTTAACTTCTGGGCGCTTCAGGGAGTGAGGGATGTGACTCACAGAAAACTGCTCCAGTTGCATCCTGTCCCTCCTTGCTGTTTGCACTTTTACAAAATGACTAGTATTTTTCTCAAAAATAATACAAGGCATTATGTAATTGAAGAAGTGATGAGGTCACATCCCCGCCCCCTCCTCCCCAGTCATAGAATGCCTTGTATTCTTTGAGAAAAGTACAAGGCATTTTGTGAATGGGCAAGTAGCTCTTCCAGTCTTCCTGTCACCCCACTCTCTCCAGTGCCCTCTGTGTCTTTAGCTATTCCTGTAGGAAACAGGATGTCACCACCACACCGGAAGCATGTGTTAAAGCAAATGTCATTTATTGACACATTGTCACAAAAATGGCAACGTTTCGGCACCGCACAGGGTCGCTTCCTCAGGCTCAAAAAGTACAGTCACATATATATATATACCAACACATCACATGTAAAAGAACCAATGAAAAGTTTGAAAATAGTCCGGCCCCCAACCCCCCTGACGTCATAGTGACATCACATTCCCGCATTAATCTAAAAATACTAGTCAAGAAAACTGCTGATCTATGCAGCGAACTGGCACAGATGCAAAAGAATGTCAAAGGCATGTCTATCAATTCATATGTAGCCACATGTGGAGAGGAGTTTGATCCTATTGGGGGATGGACTTTTTTCAAACTTTTCATTGGTTCTTTCACATGTGATGTATGTATTGTCTTATTGTCATACTGAGCCTGCGGCAGGGACCCTGTGCGGTTCCGAAATGTTTCCATTCTTGTGACAATATGCGTCACATTCTTCCAGTGTGCTGGTGACAACCTATTGCCTATATTGATTAGGGCGGTGCAATCCACAGTCATTTCAGCACCCATATTCCTGTGTCCCAGAAATCCCTGTATCTGCATCCCTTCCTCACCTGTACTTCCAGAATCTTCATCATCCTGTGCACTCCTATGAACCCAAAACCTCCATTGACCCCAGTTCCTCTGTGACCTCAGTGACTCCAGCTACCCTTTTGCCACCAAGTGATCCCTGAACTTCTGGTGACCCTTCTGCATTTCTGTGTCCTTTTGAGTTTCTGTTTTGCCTCTCAGGCTTTTCTTTCACAAAAGGTTCATTAGAAAAGTAACAAACTCATAAGTACGCACATCAAATAGAAGAAAATCACCTGAGGTTTTTGACTGTGGCCCAGTATCTGACCATGCTTGTCTGCTGCCAGCGCTCACACACAGAGTTTAAGGCTACATTCACACATCCGCATTTGGAATTCAGCACATTTTTACACGCTGAAAAACACATTCATAACACG